GTTGCGTTCTATGATGTCTCTTATCGGTTTGCCTTTATCATTTTGGGGTTATGCATTAGAGATAGCCGCATTCACATTAAATAGGGCACCTTCTAAATCCGTTGAGATGACACTGTATGGATTATGGTTTAGCAAGAGATCTAAGCTGTCATTTCTTAAAGTTTGGGGATGCGACACTTATGTCAAAAGGCTTCAGCCTGATAAGCTCAAACCCAAATCGGAGAAGTGTGTCTTCATTGGATACCTTAAAGAAACTATTGGGTACACCTTCTACCATAGACCCGAAGGCAAGGTATTTGTTGCTAAGAATGGGTCATTTCTAGAGAAGGAGTTTCTCTCTAAAGAAGTGAGTGGGAAGAAAGTAGAACTTGTTGAGGTAATTGTACCTTCTCTCGAATTGCAAAGTAGCACATCAGAGAAAACCGTTCCCGTGATGCCTACACCAACTAGAGAGGAAGCTAATGATGATGATCATGAAAGTTCAGATCGAGTTTCTATTAAACCTCATAGGTTGACCAGAACACATACCACACCAGAGAGGTACGGTAATCCTGTCCTGGAAGTCATGTTGTCAGACAACGGCGAATCTACGAACTATGAAGAAGCTATGATGATCCCAGATTCTGACAAATGGCTTGAGGCCATGAAATATGAGATAGGATCCATGTATGAGAACAAAGTGTGGACTTTGGTGGACTTGCCCGATGATCGGCAAGCCATTGAGAATAAATGGATCTTCACGAAGAAGACAGACGCTGATTTTCGCAAAAAAAAAAGACAGACGCTGATGGTAATATCACTGTCTATAAGCCTGACTTGTCGCGAAAGGTTTTCGACAAGTTCAAGGGGTTGACTACGATGAGACTTTCTCACCCGTCGCGAGGCTTAAGTCCGTCTGAATCATGTTCGCAATTGCCGCATTTTATGATTATCAAATCTGGCAAATGGACGTCAAAACTGCATTCCTTAACGAGTGTCTTAAAGAAGAGTTGTATATTATGCAACAAGAAGGTTTTGTCGATCCTAAAGGTGCTAACAAAGTGTGCAAGCTCCAGCGATCCATAAATGGACTGGTGCAAGCATCTCGGAGTTGGGATATATGCTTTGATGAGGTGATAAAAGCATATGGTTTTATACAGACTTACGGTGAAGCCTGTATTTACAAGAAAGTGAGTGGGAGCTCTGTAGCATTTCTGATATTATATGTGGATGACATATTGTTGATTGGAAATGATATAAAATTTCTGGATAGCATAAAAGGATACTTGAATAAAAAATTCTATGAAAGACCTCGGTGAAGCTGCTTATATATTGGTCATCAAGATCTATAGAGATAGATCGAGACGCTTAATAGGACTTTCACAAAGCACATACCTTGACAAAGTTTTGAAGAAGTTCAAAATGGATGAGTCAAAGAAAGGGTTCTTGCATGTGTTGCAAGGTGTGAAATTGAGTCAGACTCAATGTCTAACCACGGAAGAAGAACGAGAGAAAATGAAAGTCATTCCCTATGCCTCATCCATAGGTTCTATTATGTATGTCATGATGTGTATCAGACCTGATGTGTGCCTTGCAATAAGTTTGCAGGGAGGTACCAAAGTAATCTAAGAGCGGATCACTGGGCAGTGGTCAAGAATATCCTGAAATACCTAAAAAGGACCAATGATATGTTTCTCGTTTATGAAGGTGACGAAGAGCTCGTCGTAAAGGGTTACATCGATGCTAGCTTTGACACAGATCCAGATGAGTCTAAGTCACAAACTGGATACTTCTTTATATTGAATGGTGGAGCTGTCAGTTGGTGCAGTTCTAAGCAGAGCGTCATGGCGGGATATACGTGTGAAGTGGAGTACATAGCTGCTTCGGAAGCAGCGCATGAAGGAGTCTGAATGAAGGAGTTCATATCCGATCTGGGTGCAATACCCAGTGCATCGGGTCCAATGGCAATCTTTTGTGACAACACTGGAGCAATTGCCTTAGCAAAGGAATCCATGTTTCACAAGAGAACCAAGCACATCAAGAGACGCTTCAACTCCATTCGTGAAAAGGTGAAGGATGGAGACATAAAAATTTGCAAAATACATACGGGTCTGAATGTGGTAGACCCATTGACTAAACCTCTTCCACAGGCAAAACATGTTCAGCACCAAGATTCCATGGGTGTTAGATTCTTTACTATGTAATGTAGACTATTCACTCTAGTGCAAGTGGGAGACTAATGGGAAATATGCCCTAGAGGCAATAATAAAGCTGTTGTTATTATATTTCCTTATTCATGATGAAGGCTTATTATTCATGCTAGAATTGTATTGACCGGAAACTTAAATACATGTGTAGATACATAAATAAATACCATGTCCCTAGTAAGCCTCTACTAGACTAGCTCGTTGATCAAAGATAGTTAAGGTTTCTTAACCATGAACATGAGTTGTTACTTGATAATGGGATCACATCATTAGGAGAATGATGTGATGGACAAGACCCATCCGTTAGCTTAGCATATGATCGTTTGGTTTATTGCTACTGTTTTCTTAATGTCAAATACATATTCCTTTGACCATGAGATCATGCAACTCCCGGATACCGGAGGAATACCTTGTATGCTATCAAACGTCACAACGTAACTGGGTGATCATAAAGATGCTCTACAGATATCTCTGAAGGTGTCTGTTGAGTTGGCATGGATCAAGATTGGGATTTGTCACTCCGTGTATCAAAGAGGTATCTCTGGGCCCTCTCGGTAATACAGCATCACAAGAAGCTTGCAAGCAAAGTAACTAAGGAGTTAGTTACGAGATGATGTATTATGGAATGAGTAAAGAGACTTGTCGGTAACGAGATTGAACTAGGGTGGAGATAGCGACGATCGAATCTCGGACAAGTAACAATACCGAGAGACAAAGGGAACTACGTATGTTGTCATAAAGGTTCGACCGATAAAGATCTTCGTAGAGTATGTAGGAACCAATATGGGCATCCAGGTCCTGCTGTTGGTTACTAACCAGGGAAGCGTCTCGGTCATGTTTACATCATTCTCGAACCCATAGGGTCCGCACACTCAACGTTCTTTGCCGATATAGTACTATATGAGTTATGTGAGTTGGTGACTGAATGTTATTCGGAGTCCTGAATGGGATCATAGACATGACGAGGAGCTCCGGAATGGTTCAGAGGTAAAGATTGATATATAGGACGATCCTATTTAGTCACCGGAAAGGTTTCGGAATGTACGGGTATTCATCAGATCACCGGAAGGGGTTCCGGGAGGCCCCGGGAGGTTATTGGGCCATATGGGCGAAATGAGGGTAGCACTCCAGCCCACAAGGGGTTGGCGCACCCCACCTCTGGCCGCTGGCCTTGGGGAGAAAAGGAAGGAGGGGACTCGGCCTCCGCTTGCCTCCCCTCTCCTCTCCTCCCCTTTCCTTCCCCCCGAGAGCAAATAAGGAAGGGGCCGCACCTAAGGGCAGGCATCCTAGGGCTAGCCGCCGACCCCCTAGGGGTGCGCCTGGGTAGGCTCCTCCTCCCCCCACCTATATATATGTGATAAGGGAGAGGGGCAACACACACCACGATCCCCAAGCCGTGTGCGGCGCCCAGTCTTCCTCTAGTTCTAGTTCCTCCTTCGTCAACGTCCGTTGTGCTTGGCGAAGCCCTGCAGATAGTTTCACCACCTCCGTCACCACGTCGTCGTGCTGCCGGAACTTATCTACTACTTCGCCTCTTTTGCTGGATCGAGAAGACGAGGAGGTCATCGAGCTGAACGTGTGCCGAACGCGGAGGTGCCGTACATTCGACACTTGATCGGGACGGATCGTGAAGGTGTACGACTACATCAACCGTGTTGATAAACGCTTCCACTTAGCGATCTACAAGGGTATGTAGATGCTCTCTCCCTCTTCGTAGCTATGCATCTCCATGGATAGTTCTTGCGTGTGCGTCAAGGTTTTTTGTTTTTCATGCAACTTTAGGAAATATGCACCACATCATGCCCGTGCCATCCCAGGGACTAGGTCTTGTAGCTGACCCACATCGGGTACTACCTAAGCGCAGTGAGCATACAACGAAGCATGCCCTCGTGCAGCAATAATGCTAGACTCGCGGACGGTTACGGGCGTTTTACAAGGCTCCCTTCTAACTAATTTTGCCCCCCTGATTTTCAGGGGTTGCGGGCCCTTCCTCCCCAATCGTTAATTCTAATGGTCTACGTTCCCCAGTCCTACACTGGAACTTAACTGAAAACGGGGAAAATACTAACAGAAAGATGCCCCTATGGATTTCCCTGCCATGACAGCGTTTTTTGCAGGCGACTAAATTATACCAACAAGAATGAAACACTTGATAGCGCATTGCTACCTTTATCAGTATTCAGACTACAATAACTATAGCTGAGCAAATGAAATACACACCTGACTGTTCCGAGATTTCCGAGTTCCAGTATTAAGAAACCTAATGGCGTATACAGTGCAGAGACAGCGCTTAATATATTGCACATGTACATATGCAATTTCAGGAGAGTTTGCCTCAGAGCACATGGCAACAACAACAGAGCCAATGAAGACTGAAGACGGTATCTGCAACGTCTATTTTGGTCGGAAGAAAAATATAATCAATGCCAGTGAGCAAGGCAGAATTCAGAGATGCATTGTACCGTGACATACATATGGGAGCGTGTTTCATATCACTTCAGGAATACCAAAAAACGAAGATATTCATATCCATATCATTCTGAAGGCTGTAAAGTGCAACCACTACTTTGTTCATAGCTCAGAAGATGCTGTAGCCAATGTCAACCCTGACAAAACTTTGATTTCTGCCGTTCTACATCATGGAAACTGGATTTCAGTGTGGACTGGAAACTTCAATCCTGGATCAAACACTGAAACTGCTAAAAGTTGGAGTTCAGAAAAAAAGGAAAACGGGATCATTCATCCCTTGTAATCCCAACAAGCTATAAAATCTGGAACAAGTTGCGATGGTTTCGAAGAGGGCGCAGTCGGTCGTCAGAGCAGTGGTTCGTCGTCGTCCGCTGGCGCTGCCCGTGCCATCTCCGGTGCCATCACATCTGGGTATATCAGCTCATCATCCGCTGCAGCCACAGATGCAGTCAGTTAGGCACGGCCTGCTGCTACATGGCAAGTGGTAAAAACTAAAAAGCCCTAAAATGTGAAAGCAGGTAATAGGAAATAATGCAGAGCAACACAAGGTTATCTGCAACAAGTTCCATTGCATGTAATTAGTTTCAGACCATCTGCTGCTTTCTTAGTGCATGTCGCTAGTTTCAGATGATCCACAGCATTCTTCAGGTAAGCCCTCAACTCTCAGAAATGCCGCATTACTAATCTAAACTAAGCCAGCAGAAATCAAGCTGATAAATTCCTAATTCGGAACTGCAATTAGCAGCCACAGGCCACAGTAAATTCAGAAGGTTATATGGAACAAGTTGCATTGCAGTAGCTTCAGACAATCTACTGCTTTTTTAGTGCATATCGCTAGTTTCAGATGGTCCACAGCATTCTTCAGGTAAGCCCTCAACTCTCAGAAATATCACATTACTAATCTAAACTAAGCCAGCAGAAATCAAGCTGTCAAATTCCTAATTCGGAACTGCAAAAGGCATTAACAGCCACAGGTCACAATAAATTCATAAGTACACTGACCTCTTGAGCCGACCCGGAAAATCACCACGTCCAACGGCTCCCGGCTGCGAGGCAGGTTGATGGCCAGAGGGCTCGGCTCCCCGTAGCGACCGGCGCGGACGCAGAGAGTGCAGCTGGAGGCGGACTCCGGAGGGTCCAGCAGGTTCACTACCTGTCCCTTCATCAGGATCGTGTGCCTCCCGGTGTACCGTATCGAGGCCCAGTCGTCCTCGCTGAAGGCGCCGGAGTCGTCGGCCCGCACCCACCGTATCTCCCGCTCCAAGGAGAACCACCGCACCCAGAGGCGGGACAGCGGTGGGCACACCAGGGCGAAGAGCTTGCCCCACTCCGACTGCACATCAACACAAAATCAACTGGAAATCCTGGCACTAAATTCAACTGCAAGCGATGAAAGTTTTGGGCAAGAAACTGCGCCGGAAAGAAGAACTCCAACTGAATTTATTAGCAGAGTTTCTTTTGCAAGAATGATACTGTAATTGATTGATTGATTCTTTGACATGAGCAAACACAGGAATCAAATAACTGCGCCAGAAAGAACTGTAGCAGAATTTTCGCAAGAATAATATTATGAATTTATGACGATCTCAAGAATCTCCAGATGACGAGATTGTGGAAGAATGCAGGGATGAGTAAGGAACTCACATCACGCGCTATCGGGAGGTATGGCCTGGCCTGGAGCCGGGGGACGGCCTCCACCACCCACTGAACCGCCGTGCCGAGGCTGCTGCAGGAGGAGACGGAGACGCTGGAGCGGCACGGCAGGAGGCACCTCGAGTTGGCGCGGAGGTAGCGCCCGGACGCGTCGTGCAGCAGCAATGCGCCCCGGCCGCGGCGGCCCGTGGCGACGGCCCGCCACATGATGGCGAGGACCTCCGGCTCGTCGAAGTCGCGCTGCGCGGCAACCCGGCAGGGGGGAGGGAACGGGCAGAGGGAGCCGCGCGTGCTGGCGTCGGGGGCCCCGAGGTACCGGCCGTAGGCGCCGCGGAGGAGGACGTAGAGCGTGCCTGAGGCGGAGATACGCAGCTGCACTGCCCACACCGCGTTGTACGACCAGGACAGGCCGGTGCGGTGGAGGCGGACGGAGCGCCCGTCCTTGGCGGCGTGCACGTACGCGCCGCCGTGCTGCATGCTCCGCAGCCGCACGAAGTCCACGCCCTCGAACACCTCCATCGCTCTCCGCTGCGGATCGAAGTTTCGCTCAGAGAGGGGTGCAGGCGGGTGGCTTGATTCTCCTCGGCTTTCTTGGTTTCTTGGCGTTGCGAGGAAGACGAGCAGAGGGGAAGAAGAGTTTGTTACGACGGTTTTGTTTAGGCGCCAAGCGGATCGTTTCAAGGAGGCGCCGCTCCGAAGCGCGGGCCCGTTCGCTGACTGGTGGGGCCATCATCCAGTCAGTCCGGTCATTGTATTTCACTGAGGTGTGGGGCTACCACCCCTGGCCCTGGTCAACAGTTGTCAACGCAATTTTCTGACGACAACAAATTAAACTCTCTTAAGGCCCTGTTTGATATAGCAACGTAAGTAATTTCAAACTATTTTACTACAGCTTTTCAGAATACAATAGTTTTATTTACTTTGATTGAGGTTTTTGGCTACCACTAAAAACTTTGGCATTAGTACCAAATATTTTTTAAAACAATTATTTTCTCCGTCTAAAAATAACCCCAGACCTTTTCTACCAAACTGAGCCGCCAAAAAGAATGAGTAGTCGTTTATCGTTATCTCTTCTCGCGGCCACCACATTGTGGTCGCCGGAGATGCCTATCCAGCGCGGCTCCACCGCCTGGTGAACCGCTGGCTACGCCCGTAGAGGAGCGTGCTCTTTGGTAAGCTAAAAGCCTTGAGCATGGCTATTCAGTGTCGTTCTTGGTTTGTGCATCGTTTTGTTCATATGCATGCGAACGGTAATAGCTAGCAACTAGCTAGCTAGAAAAATGTGGGTTCTATGCATGTGCATGGACATTCTTAGTGCATACCCGTTGAATGCAATGGCTAGCCCATTAATTTCAACTTGAGGGAAACAACATGACTGTGTTGTTTATTTTTTATTAATTTTCAAATAGTACGAAAGTAAGGTCCAAAGAATGAAAGCATAACTATACAGGCCCTAAGTAAAGAAAAAAGAACCTAAGATAAGAAAAAGAGAAGACAATAAAATACATCATGAGGAGTAAATCATCTGAAAGCCTTGATCCAGTCTTCAAAGCCATTGTATTCCTTCCTAACTATGTAAATGATCCATTTGAGTTTCTCTTTGAATTTTCTCCTGCGAGCATACAGGTTTGGGGTGATATGTTCAAAGATGAAATTAAGATGATGATCTCCATAGCAAAAGGCACATTCAGGAGTTGTTTA